ATGCAAAGTCCACAAAAAAGACAATTAACAAACCACAGTTGACACACTACAGATGGAAAATGTTGCTAGTTTGTTATTCCAGCACAGAACACAGATTCAAGTGATTGAATAGTGGCAGGGCAAGTGATTTCTTAGGTGGAACAAACATTCAGTAGAAGGCGCATAAAGCCCAGCCAGTGAACTATTCAGCCTATTGCTGGCTTGTTTTTTCCGTCTGTGAATAGCAGCTTGCACTTGCGTTAGCTGTGCCATGCGACCATTGATCAGCACCTCGTTACGTTGTATCTACCTATTCTGCAGCCACTGAAAAGCCACAAGAACAGAGCAAAGCTCTGACTAAGACAAATGCGAGTGTTGCCCTGGGATACGGGGGAGTTGGAGAGGGAGGAAGATGTGGCTTCTGTGGGGATAGGGTCCCTCTATGCAACACCTGCTTATTGATATAGCCTTGTAAGATTTTTTAGGATTATTGAATTTTGAGTCCCTGAATGTTTCCGTCTGTGTTCTGTATTTTTAGCCTCTCTATTTGTGTTTCAACGTTCTTAAAGAGTTATTGGAAAGGAAATCAACCTTGAGAGTTTTGTAGGAGAGGTTGGGTACATAACTGGTATTGCTTTAGATGTTAGACATTCATATATTATATATTGCTTAAAAGGAAAGCAGTCTGAGGTATAAATAGTCTCAGCATGCAAACAACCACTGTCAGGATGAAGAGCACTGTATGGATACCTTTTGTTTAAGGTACAAATAATGTAAATGTACCTTCATAGGTGCATCACTGGCCTTATTGTGTCCAATTTAATTTATATATACATACATACATCATCTAAACAGCTTATCCTTCTGGGTCACGGTGGGGTGCTGGAGCCTATCCCAGCTGTCATTGGGCGGAAGGCAGGATACACCCTGGACATGTCGCCAGTCCATCGCAGGGCAGACAGACAGACTTACATATACAATCACACACACACCTAGGGGCAATTCAGCATGTCCAATTGGCCTGACTGCATGTCTTTGGATGGTGGGAGGAAACCGGAGTACCCGGAGGAAACCCACGCAGACACGGGGAGAACATGCAAACTCTACACAGAAAGGACCCCAGTCACCCGGCCAGGAATCGAACCCAGGCCCTCCTTGCTGTGAGGCGACAGTGCTACCCACTGCGCCACTGTGCTGCCCCCAATTTAATTTATTCATAATTTAAATTATTCGTAAAGGAAAAAGGCATACTTGTACCCTTTCCTAATTTTTTATAAATAGAACAAACCTGGAGTCAGGACAAAGTATATGGGGTTAATGGAACTTAAGTAATATGATTGCAGTGGAATATCAGACAATTATTGTTGGGGGTGCCACTCCAGAAATGCGAGGGGTACCTCCCCAGTGACAATTTAGTACCTTTTTCTGAGAGTGTGGATGGTAAATGGTCAACACTCAGGGTCTTTTAGGCCTTCAGAGAACGCGAAGTGATTTCTGGGAACTAAAAAGTTCATTTATCTCTGCAAGTATTGTGGTAAAACACTTATTTCATTAAGTTTTGGGTGCAGACAAAAGAGATAAGTGGAAAATTGTCCAATCAGATTTTATTCTCTGAGGTATCTAGGTAGAAGTAAAGAAGTGAGCTCTCCCACTGTTTAGGACTTCAGGAGCCAGACAGAAGGCCTGTGAGGTTCACCACCAACATTATAAGGACCTGGCAACCGAATCAACCAATCACGTTTTGATTTTCAGTGGGACCCATTGATTTTGTAAGAAAAAACATATCTCTAAGTCAGGGGCTCAAATTATCTGGGGGCCACTAGCCTGGTGGGTGCCAGTTCAAAGGATTATATATTGTTGTTTTTATTATTATTAATAGTAGCAGTGGCAATATAAATACACAGTGTTTCATAAATACTTTAGTGTTTAATGAACTCAAATAACTGTACATTTATCAGCAGAATTATATGGGACTTGTTGTGATAGTACTGGCAATCCTGCTGATGCGAGTGAAGTTACTATGAGCCTGTTAATTCTGCATTCTCAGTTGATTCGTTTGACAATTCCATTTATTTCTTCATTCCGACTTGATGTATCTGCTGCTTTGTCATGAGTTAATCCATTTAGATTGAACTATCAGTCTCAATTATAATCATAGCTTAGTTAGTCATAGTTAAATTTAAATTTAAAGTTAAAATTACAGTCACACCCACTCAGTGTGCAGCGTACATGCTGCATCAGGGTTTTGTTTGAATAGTTGCATGCATCACTTTATTTTTGCCTTTTAACAGTATAAGCATCAACCAAAGCTGATGTTATATGGGTTCTAGCCACATTGTATGGGTTCTAGCCATGGTGTATGGTGGTGACGCATTTTACCTGCCAGATATAAATATTTAGCCACAGAAAAATGAAAATGAAAACGTATTTATGGGCCAGATATAAGGATAAATTGTTAATATGTGACTAGCCATATCAAGTTGTTTCAAGGGCTAGATGTGCCTTGGAGGGCCGGTAGATTGAGACCCCTTCTGTAGGCCTTCTGGAAACCCTTGCTACATTACTAACTGTGAATAGAAGTGTAAGGTTTCAGTCATTTGTTAGATGTTAATGTTTGTTGCAAGCTTGTTGCAAAATTTCTCATCTGCACCATCGTTAGCTTAGTGTTAATATGATACTAGATATTCCTCAGGATTTCTTATCATAGATTAACAGTGTCATCGAGGTGTTTGGACAAGGAAATTAGATGTTAATGTTTGTTGCAAGCTTGTTGCAAAATATCTCATGTACACCACTGTAATGTTAGTGCTAATCTAATACTGGAAATGCTTTAGGGGTGCTAGCTTAAATTAGCGTTATATTAGAGGTGTTTTGACAAGGTACAAGGTAATTAGGTGTTAATTTTTTTTGCAAGCGTGTTGCAAAACTTTTCATGTGCACCATGATTAGCGTAGTGCTAATATAATACTAGAAATGCCTAAGGGTCGCTAGCATAAATTAGCATTATCATAGATGTGTTTTTGCAAGGTACAAGGTAAATAGATGTTAATGTTTGTAACAATCTTCTTGCAAAACTTATCATGCGTATCACCAATAGCTTAGTGCTAATATAACACTAGAAATGCCGTGGGGGTGCTAGCATAAATTAACATTGTCATAGAGGTGCATTTTCAGATTTTGTTTTACTTTGTCTTGACATTTATGGCCCAAACTAATAATAGTCATCATTCGCCACTGGAAATGGTAATAGCTGGAATACATACTAATAAATGGCACAAAGATTCGTAAAATGGATCTAGAAGATAAAACTTTGAGAAAATCTGGAATTGTAGATAGGGTAGATGCAGAGAGAATGCATATAAAGCAGCGAAATAACAGCAATGGAGTGAAAATGAATGGCAGAATGGGACTATACTGACAGGCATGTTGTTGCAGGTTGAGAGAAAATATAGGCCAGTGTGATGATAAGTTCAGAAAAGATGACACTGAAGAAGAAAAATGGGCAGCAGTGTTAAATTCTAATAAAGTTAGAAGGTACAATTCAAAGCAGACACATTCATTGAGGCATATCTACCTGCGCTGACCATGCCCACACTGGAAAAAGGTAGGCAGACAAGCTTTATGGTTATGCTCAAGAAGTGTGTGGGAAGCTCTTACTTTTGTGACTGAGAGGCCTGCCAGTGGCATCAGTCAAGTCGGCTTGTTGAGCAACTGCGGAGAAAGTCCTGTGACTCGGCTTGCACAGGTTTCCAAGTTTCTTTGAATGTATTCTCATGTTATGGTGGTAGAGGACGACATAAGACTCCTGACACAAGGAGTTTACAGTTGAAAATCTAATTCAGAAGCTGATTGTTTGAGATCTTAAATCTTGGGATAGTTTACAGCCCTGAAGAAGAATCAGAGCTGGGCGGACCTATAGCATTGGGATGATTCAGCCGAGGGTGCTAATTTAAGACAGTCACAGGTACGATGCGAAATAGAGGGGGTCCTGAAGGGCCCAGGAGCTCCCAATTAAACGCTTGGACCCCCTCAATATATCTCAAAATTAAATTTCTGGGGGGTCCTTGAAAATAAACTTATGTTACTCTATCATTGTTTAGCTCCTTCACCCACAATCAACGAGGTCCAGTCTTTGGTATTCTTAAGTAACTAGAGCTGCAGCACTGGTCTGCCTCAGGGTGGCGCTGTAGCAGATAACTATATAGTATGGTAACTATGTAATTACATTAGTAAATAATTGTCTCTCCACCTCTTTGAAGGCATTTAATGCCCTAAATGTAACTAAAGTCTAGCAATGAGGTAGCTGAACTTTACCCTCCTCTGCTATCACTGCAGACTGGCAGGGTCGCCCACAGAGCAGCACTAGTAGCTGTTAATGAAGTGATGTTCTTTTTATTTGAGGGTCCCATTTCATACAGGAAGATTTCAACCACTATCCCCTTGTAACTCAGTTCCAAGGAGCAAGGTACTGGCACTTGAAAACAAGGGGTCAGGGGTAAAAATGAGAAATGGGATTGGGCCTATGACCACCTAGTCTGTTCTTGCCTCTAGACCATTGATGCACATGCTTTACTTTTGTGCCAGATTTTTGTCTTCTCAGATAAAAGGGCTGGTACCATGCTGTTCGTAGACTTGCAGAAGGGTTAGATCTGCAGCAGAAGGAGCAAGGGCATGTGTTAGATAAAGCAGCAGTAAGTACTAGGAGTGGGAGAAGAAATCAATAGAAGTCTTACAATATATTGGGTGAAAATGTCAAAACACACAGGCCCAAGTATTGATGTTTTATTAAGTGATTATTAATATTTATAATTTGTTTACTGTGTACCATTGGTATGCTAATGGCATACTGTAATCCACTGGTTTCTTAGTCCACAAGATGGTGCAGGGTTGCACCAGCAGTGCTGCGGGCATTTACTGGAAGGCTGCAGCACTACTGTAGTTCCTACAGCTTGTGTGAAACTGAAGATCTGTTGAGAATCCACACTCACTCTCTACTTTTTTCCCTTTTCTCTCTTTTCCAGTGAACAAACACAAGCCATGGATTGAGACATCCTACCATGGAGTCATCACCGAGAACATGGACACTGTCCTGCTGGATCCACCACTTGTAGCCTTGGACAAAGACGCTCCCGTCCCCTATGCAGGTACTGATATTTTGATTTGTCATTGATTGATCTGGGAGATGGACAGTATGCTGAATGACGTGCTCCGCTTACAATCTTTCATAGCAAGCATTGCTAGATTGGATAAGCTTTACAATGTTGATCAAGATCCAATTCATCCTAATGAAAAATTAACATACAACTGTTTTGTATTTTACGCGTTTTATATGTTTTATACTATAATGCTACGGCAGCAAGCTGGACTATGTTGTTGTAGCTAATTGAAGCTAGGGAGGTTGGATATGATGGTTTGGAATCTATGATTTTGGAAGTGAACTACATCCAGTGTATCCTAACACATACAGGAGTTATTCATTTTTTGGTGGCAATAAAAAAAACAGAAAACATTTTGTCACTGATGGAACAAAAGCTTTTGTCTCTAAAATGGTAACTTCCCATAAAAAAAGGCAAAACATACTTTTTAATATAAATTAATGTGGCAAGACTTCTTTTCCAAGTAATTTTGGACAATTTCTTTCCATTTCATTGCAAAAAAATGAAAAATGGAGATATGGATGATTAACAGAAAACTACAGTAGCTAAATATCATCATGTTTTTTTAGTATAGTTTTTAGTTTAGTAGTCGTCCACTCTGCCTTTATTGCAGCCTCCATTCTTTTCGGGAGGCTTGCTTTCAGTTTTTCAGAGAAATTTGCAGGAATTCCACACCCTCAAAGTTCAGTCTTAGAAGTTGGTTGTAGGATGCGGGAAAGTGTTTTAAGTTAGGGGTGCTGAAATTTGAAGCAGCGTATATGAGATGTGAACAATGACATCATGCAAAATTATTAGGTAACACTTTATTTCGAGTGTCTTTTGTAGATGATTAATGAACTCTTAACATATTATTAATAACGCAACATATCAGTGGAGTAGCAGTAGTGAAGCATCTGAATACACTGAAGTAAATATCTTGTAGATGTTCTGTTGATACATGACTTACATTAAGTAGATGTATTGCTAATATGTTACTTCTGTTGCGCAAAACATAACCTTACCAACCTTACCCAACACCTAACCCTAACACTGGCCCTAATCCTAACCTTAACCTTAACCTCAACACAAAACCTAACCATACCAACCTTACCCAAAACCTAATCCTAATCCTAACCTTAACCTCAACCCAAAACCTAACCTTACCAACCTTACCCAAAACCTAACCATACCAACCTTACCCAAAACCTAATCCTAATCCTAACCTTAACCTCAACCCAAAACCTAACCGTACCCAACCTTACCCAAAACCTAATCCTAACCTTAACCTCAACCCAAAACCTAACCTTACCCAACCTTACCCAAAACCTAACCTTACTCAACCTTACCCAAAACCTAACCTTACCCAACCTTACCCAAAACCTAACCTTACTCAACCTTACCCAAAACCTAATCCTAATCCTAACCTTAACCTCAACCCAAAACCTAACCTTACTTAACCTTACCCAAAACCTAAACTTACCCAACCTTACCCAAAACCTAACCTTACTCAACCTTACCCAAAACCTAATCCTAATCCTAACCTTAACCTCAACCCAAAACCTAACCTTGCTTAACCTTACCCAAAACCTAACCTTACCCAACCTTACCCAAAACCTAATCCTAATCCTAACCTTAACCTCAACCCAAAACCTAACCTTACCCAACCTTACCCAAAACCTAATCCTAATCCTAACCTTAACCTCAACCCAAAACCTAACCTTACTTAACCTTACCCAAAACCTAACCTTACCCAACCTTACCCAAAACCTAACCTTACCCAACCTTACCCAAAATCTAACCTAACCCAACCTTACCCAAAACCTAACCTTACCCAACCTTACCCAAAATCTAACCTTACCCAAAACCCAACCTTACCCAACCTAACCCAAAATCTAACCTAACCCAACCTTACCCAAAACCTAACCTTACCCAAAACCTAACCTTACCCAACCTTACCCAAAATCTAACCTAACCCAACCTTACCCAAAACCTAACCTTACCCTAACCTTACCCAAAATCTAACCTTACCCAACCTTACCCAAAATCTAACCTAACCCAACCTTACCCAAAACCTAACCTTACCCAACTTTACCCAAAACCTAACCTTACCCAACCTTACCCAAAACCTAACCTTACTTAACCTTACACCTGACATGTTACTGACAGTTTGTTAAGTGTTAAAATAAAAAAGTCACCATTAATTTTTGTTTACATTTTTTTTGACATAATGAGTCATACGGCACTATACGGAGGCGAGGGACCAAACTATATACATATAACTGACACATCAGACTCCTGATGCACATCCTCTCTCTGATCTCTCAGTTTTTATGCAACTTTGGTGCAAATTAGCTGAGCAATGACCAATCTGATTGTTGATATGTGGCCAGTAACCGATTATGTCACGCCCACAGTCGCACCATGAGATTTAACTGGAAGGAACACTGACTGGGTGATATAATGGTTCATAAAATGTTACTTTCATCTTCTTTGTAAACTTAAAAACAATGGTTTTAGGCCACTTTGAGCTTCAGAACTCACCTGTATCACTACAGTTTCCCTCTTTAAACCTCAACCTGCTTGTGTTTTAGCCATGCGCCCCCAAAACAGCCAATTGTTGTTGAAGTGATTCAGTTCACTGTAATGAAAATACACCTTAGTGTGCATCTGCAGGTTTTCAAAAAGAATAAATAAAAATAGAAAAATACAAACTCCTCTGTAAAACAAACACACTTGGATCTTTGCTGCACTGTTATTACTAACTTATTAAAAAAGTTCAGATCTCTGGATAATTATTGTTGTTTTAAGCTGTGCAATCCTGAAATACGGGGGTGTTGCAGCCCCCTCAGCACCCACACTTCCCGCATCCCTAGATGGCTGCATTATCTGTTTCTCATGATGCAAGTAATCCTACACATGTTCAGTGATGTTGAGGTCTGGACTCTAGAGTGGACAGTCCTTTGTTCTGAGAACAAATTTGCAAGTTTTCTTTACTCAGCAATGGCTTCTTGAAAGATTATTAATTTGTTCTTACTGGCCATTTTGACTGGACATTAAATGAACGAAGGTCTCTGACTTTCGCAAACCTGTACTGCTTTGACAACAACAGGTCCCCTCACTGTAAATATCCCCTCACTCTATGGCATCTTGCCCATATGTGCCTGAGTATGGATGAGTATAGATGTGCAGCTCTCATATAGAACAGATTTAGCTGCAGCTTTTCTCACTCTTATGGTGACAGATAGGACCTGACCTGAGTGTTATCTCAGGGTCTTCTTTCTGCCTGCCATCTCGATTGCACTGACGGCACATGGCCATTGTGTAAGGGATCACATCATGCCCTTCCCAAGGCCGAAATCTCTATAGTGTTTCTGGCCTTGGAAGAAAAAAAAAAGACCAGAACAAATCTGGTTATTTTCCGTAGATACTTAGAATGAATGACACTGCACTGCCTTCTAGACGAGCTGTGAAGGAAAAGGGCAATTATATAGACCATATTTATGTAGGAAGGCTTCCTGGGTGCTGAGTGCTGATTATTCAGGAGCAGTGTGTGTATATGTTTGTCTGAGTGTGTGTGTGTCTCTATGCCAGTGGCAGGGTAATTAAACAAAGTGACTTTTTTACACAAAGAGGCAAACGAGGAGCCACTGCGACAGGTAACTCTCTACAGCTCATTAAATGACAATGGCTGGAATTAATCTCCTCTCTGACAGCCTTGAAAAGGTGACGTTAAGAAGCCGCTCTCTGTCTTTTCTTTTCCCACCAGGCGTCAAGCACATAGCAACCAAACTGAAACTGATGAGTGTGCTTGATATGCTAGGCCTCTTAGTCTAATTCCCAGAGCCTTAAACCCAAGCTCCCAGCACACCTGAGCTAGGTACTCAGTCAGCAAATACGACAGGCAGATAGACACCTGTCCATTCCATGCTTTTTGCTTTTCGGCAGGTCCTCATTTGGAAGCATGTAACAGTAAATCTGTCCTCTAGTACCTATTTTGTTGCCTTTGTTGCTTACATGGCTGAGTGCTTTTTAGCTGAAAACCATGTTTTCGTCATTAAATACCCAAAGAAATTGTGTCCACCTGCTTACAAAGTACAGCTGTTTTGGTAGTTCGAATAAAACTGAAAACACTGTAGCGTCGGTGTTGAGTAAGACACCATGAGTCAGAGCCAGAGGCTATGATTCCATCACAACAAATGCTCTTTATTAAACACCGGGGCAGAAAGGCGCATGCAGAACATTGAACTTGCAGGGGAAATTCACGACCAGCCACAGGCTTCACCCTGACGGTAGACCAACCTCAACACAGAACACTCTAACTAAACCCGTACCCTGTCACAAAATCACACAAATAGCACGCAACACACCTTTACACTAACAAACAATGACATTTAAACACATTAAAGTACATTTCTAGGAGGGTGTACACCTAAAAAAACTAGTTGCAATCCTCCTGGTCAAATGTATTTTTTGTTGATTTTTTTAAGTGAAAATAAGTACACATTCACTTCAGCGAACACACTTAAAGCTACATTATGCAAGAATTGGGGGATCTGGAGCCCTCTCTGGTGGAAATATGTAATTGCACACAACGTGCAGAAGAACATTTACTATCTACTTTTGTCATCATATGCTTTTTACTGAAAAGTTGATTTTACTTTTGGGACCTATACATGGAACGGACCCTTCTTTTTGATCCCTATGTGTGATGTCAATATGTGAAGATGTGTGACGTTGCCTGAACAACTCCTGACCCAACACCTCTGATATTTCAATGATTATTTCAGGCTTTATAGGGCAACCTGGAGCAGTGCACACACACTTAATTTAGCGTGTTTATTATCCTGACTCAGTAACGCCAATTATTTCAATTGTAATTAAAAAATTGTACGTAGTCGTACAAGATTCGTAATCCTACAATAATGTGTATTATCATGTAAATGTATTCTAGGAAACTAGATGAAAATAATATAATTACAGTAAAAATAATTTGGTACCACTTTACAGAT